ACTGGGCCGGCAGTGTGGTGTGTGGCGTTTCACAGAGCACTTTAAAATCAATCTGGAGCATCTAAATGACAGACCACCACTCCACTGTAATCAACCTGAATGAAGCCCAGCCACAAAGTCCAGGAAAAAAAAAAAGAAGACCATAAATAAACAAACAAGCAGATAATGACTCCTCAGCTAGCTTCTTTTTAAATGGGTGTGTTTTGGATTCAGAACTAAAAGACAAAATGTGTGTGGATGCTGATGTCTAACAGAAGCTGTGTGTAGGCTTGTTTGTGTGTGTGAATGAGCGAGAGAAAGCGGCCACTTCCCAAATTTAATGAACTCTTTGATTTTTGAACGACATCCTTCTGGACTCAATCAAGTTAGTCATGTTCTACATTTGGCTTCAGCATATTTATTTAGTGTTTTCAAACTACTATGCTGGTAGGCAAGCTTTAATTTCACCTAAATATTTGGTCATGCCATTGTAAATACTCTGCACTTTTGAAGCATTCACCACAAAACATTTTCAGAAACTTTCAGTGGAGTTACTTGTTATTCCTATTAGCTGTTTAGGTCATTTTCATGTGACCAATAATGTTTTTTTTTTTATATACAAAAATCATGTAATATCCTTAATATCTCAACAATGAACTTTAAATTAAACTTTTAATTCATGGTAAAAATAAGAATATCATGCCCTGTACTGAGATGAAAATACATCTGTTTGGAGAAACTTTCTGAATCATCTCTCCATAAATTGCACTCTTAAAATAAAGGAACATCTATAGAACCTTTTAAATGCAGAAAATGTTCTTTATAGTGAAAAGGGTTTTCCTTCAAAATGGTTCATTTAAGAACTGTTCACTGAAAGGCTCTTTGGGGAATCGAACATGGTTCTTCTATGGCATCACTGCAAAAACACCCTTGTGGAGCCTTTATTTTTAAGAGTGTGTGCAGATAAACAATAACATGTTCATTGCTGCATATCATTCCATGATATTGGAATATCATTAATTTTATGAGTTCATATGAGTCCAGTTCTTTCTACAGTCTTCTTTCCCTGAAATTGAGAAAAAGAAAATTTTAAGAAGAAGCTGTTTAGAGGAAGAGAACCACTTCTGAGAATCTTCTGAGTTTGTGTAGGCTTAGAATGCAACAAAATGCATCATTATTAGTATATGATCAGATCATCTCTAATATGTAAAATAATGCCAGCTGTAAAATTTGAAAGATTGTTCTTATTAGGTGTTTTAAAAAGCTAATTGAAAAACTTTTTTTTTTTTTTTATTAATTTATATACTTGCTTGGAAATGTGAATTATTTTGTTTGGATAAACTTCAGCTGCTCCCCAGCTCACTCTGCTCCTGCAGCACCCTCTCACCTTCACTTTACGGCGTGTGAAGTTTACCTGACCTTCTCTTCACATCCCTCTGTGTGCTGTTCGGAGAAGTCGCCTCTGAGCACTGGACTCAGAGCAGTTATGCTTCAGATAATCTGCTACTGCCTGAACACACAATATATCTCAGATGTTTTGATACCATAACAATGGCTTTAAGCAAGAGATATGTCATTTAACCTATTTCATTTCATACACAAACAGTAAAAGTTGTCTACAACCAGTAAAAGAAAAAGAAATGATAAAATATGAATCAAAAACAACATTTGTTGTTGCACAAACTTCTGTTCTAAACCACCTTTTATATCTAAAGCAATATAAAATGAATACAATCTCTGTTCTGTTCATCCTCAATGTGTCACATTCTTTAAAGAAAATTGGCCACAATACATTTGAATAATTTTTAATTTAAGGAATTGCACATATTATGATTTACAGAGAGTTTCTTCAGCAGAATATAGAATATTTTGGGGGGTAAATGAATAGCTGTAATTATTGTTCTGTACAGTCGTGGCCAAAAGTATTGGCAGTGACACAAATTTTGTTTTTTTTTGCAAAATTTGCTACTTAAGCTGTTGTGGTGTTCATTCACATTGTCTCTACAAGTATTGGCAGTAACATAATATAGAAACAATGTGAATGAACACCTAAGCTGCAAATTTTGCAAAACACAAAATGTATGTCACTGCCAATACTTTTGGCCACGACTGTAATTATGTTCATGCTGTTTAACTTTACTTTTAAATGATCTGATGGCCATTGTTGCACATGCATCAGATATGCATCAAAAACATCTTTAAACATTTAGGAAAATAGAAATAGATGTAAACAGTTAATCTGCTTGTTATTTGATCAATGAGTAATTTTGGGTTCTTTCTGTGTCTTTTTTAATTGTATAAAAACCCCAGTTGCTAACCTTTAATCATCTCTTATCACATAGTGTACAGTCATTTGGGCTTTCCCTTTTGATCTTTCTTTCTTGTCTGCACACATAAGTCTTTTAAAATATCATTTAATCTATTTAGTCTAAATTTAATGTGGTGTACAAACTATTACTTTTCCAATTCTATCGTTCTGATTTGCATTGTTAGTAAATGCTGCTGTGTAACTTTGTAATGTGAAAAAAGTGCTTTATGTGGTAACATCTAAACTTACATATATTAGTTTAATTGAATTACAAAATATGATTTAATGTGACTTAATCAGATGACATAAGGTTAGATTAACGGGAGTAATTATTATCAGACTTTTATTTTTTACAGTCCATTTAGCTTATTAGTCAAATCTAAGATCTGTAGCTTTTCATGTTCCTCTCAACCGACTGTTAGCCTTGGAGAATCTTTTAACGAAAACGTTTAATACGTTTCGACAAGTTCCACGTTTTCTGTGTATATGTTTCTCGGAGAAAAAGCTAGAAAATAATTTATTTTCAGACATTTAAATTATTTATTTTGAAATAAAAAAAAACAACGTAATTAATATTATTTTATATAAGTGACTGTAAGTCAACGCAAAATGTGCATTAAAAGAGAATGGCTTCAAATAAATGTAGCATAATATATATTTTTTCTTTTTAAATTCAGATATGCACATTCCTAAGTTAAAACATCTCTTCATTTCAAACGCTCTCGTGAACTTCCCCTCCAACTCACAAAAGCCGCAATAATTCCGTTTCAAAACTACCTGATATTATCACTCCAAATTATCATTCAGTATCCACACATTTTTCGTAATTTTTTTTTAGCAATTTCACAACACATCTCATAAATTCACATTCGGG